TTGTTATTCAATTGATAATCTTTCTTATTCATTAAATTACTAACAAAAACTGAATTTCACAGGTTGAAATCATGAGTCAATTGAAGCTAGACCACCATGGAAAACCTGGAAGCACTAAACGGCCGTTTCGTCCTAGGATGCGCACTGCTGAGGAGTTCCATACTAGGACGAAACGGCCGTCTAGTGCTTCCAGGTTTTCCGTGGTGGTCTAGCTTCAACTGACTCATGATTTCAACCTGTGAAATTTCCTGAAATCGCCACAAAACTCAATCTGATAAAAACTGAATTGTTATTTGTAGTAAAATGAAGAACTGTTCAAGGTTAATGTTTCTTCTAACAGAAAGAAAGACGATAATAGTGTATCACCTCATGCTTAACAGTTTCATACGCTTCTATATTTAAATCCAGATGTAAAATTATGTTATCCCGAAAAGAAATCCATCAAAGGTTTAGTTGACTAAGTCTAAGATTATGTACTGTACAGTTTAGCAAAATCTAACACAATCTACAAGCCTACAGATGAAGTAAAAAAACAACAACCTAGCAAAACAGTATGGAAGTTCGTAATTCTCCAGTATTATCCTTCGTGTAATACAGCTAAAAAGAAACAATTAACTATAAAGTAAAACAAAACTGACAACGCTATTTGAATATGAGTATTATACAAATATTTCAGACATTCTTTCAATCCATTATTTTGACGTTATTCATCATAGTTTATATAAACGATATTAAAAATACTTAATTACATTATTTGGTTATCTTTACAACTTAGCTATTGTCGTTTAAAGAACAATATTATACTTTCTTTATAAAGATCAACTTCGTTTATAAAATCTATTGCATATCATTTACACTCGAGTCTGTATACATTCAAATTTGTTAGGATCTTTAATTAATTAATTTAACAGTGTCATTCGAACAGTAACGATCTATCTATATTTTTGTATTTTTTCATAATATCCGTATTGTAGTGAACAAGAACACGGGTGGGGACGAACGGATGTATTTATCACGAAAATTACAGACTATCTCAACCAAATCTGAATACCATAAAGTCAATCGTCAATTTGCAAATTATCAATGCATCATATCAAACTGTACTGTTCAAGTTGCAAACACTAATCCATTGTCTCCCATTTCATTGTTCATGCGATTTCTTACAAATTCCATTATATTCTTGCTCCACCTTTCTTGGTCTTCGCCATCTTTTGCTGCCGAGCATTACGTTCTTTTAACGCACGTTATATACTACTTATGTCAATATAAGTAGCTCACACCACAGTATGAGTATGTATGTTTGACATGTATTATAGTCTACACACATACTCCTCTTAACAGCTTAACTGTTAGTTGCTTTAATTGTTCAATGAATCATCTGTTTTCCTACATATATGTTATTCTTAACTCTTATTAATTTATTCACCCTTATTTGCTTGATCGTATTCACTCATATTCGCTTTGTTTGCTTGTGGCTCTGTGATCTTATACACCATTGGAAGTTATATAATAATAATAATTCTCAAGATGATTGATATATGAAGCACTGGAAATTATTTTGACGATATTCCATTACATATTCACAAGATAGAAAAATAGTTGATAGTACAGTAGTTATTAATAAAATTATATACCACACAATGCTATTTAACTTAATTACAATAGCAAATTGAGTTGATTAAAGTTTTGATTTTGATGAATAAAACTTTATAATTAAATTTGAGTTTAACAATTGAGACTAAATATATTAAAATAAAATTCGTAATAGATGAAGTTAACATTAGAACTGTGTAATAAGTGAACATAATTGACATTGTGAATGTGTAACTAAACATTGATGAGTTAAATCAATTACAGAATTCGTTTACATCATTAACTATTCTTACAATTTAAGTGTAAATTACTAATCTGTATGTTAGTGAGTGTTACAAAGATGTTAATATAAAACCGGACACTTCTTTAAAGTATATAAAATTAAGTCAATCAGTCAGTTACAACATAGGACCAGGCACATACATGCATCGGTCCAAGTTACCATACCTCATTAGCACAGAGAAACGAACATCGGATTCATATAAGCAGTTAACTCAATGGTGTAATAAATAAAGAAGAGATTTTATGTAAGGATATAGTACAGAAAGAAAGAATTAGTTCGTAGAAAGAAAGATGTGAAATAATTTTAATCTCATAGTTAAAGGGAAGACAGTGTATACACCTACACCATTAAGATCGATTCTGAGCCATGTCACTCAGAGTCTCCAACCATTGGTTACGATAGTCAAGCGGACCCCAACCAAGTAGTCTGCATCTACCAACATGACTAAGACTAAAAGTTAGTGACTTCGAGGACTAACACCACATTTTGGTTTGGCCACCCCGAACTTTCTTTCAACCATTCCCAATACTAGTCAAAATTGAGCGTCGTGGTGATCGTGTTCAGGCATACATAACACATGCCTCAACCATCTCAGTCGGTGAAGATTAACATTATCAAAATACTTTGCCTTTATCTCCAGAGGTAAATCATTGTTAAGATGGTCTTTGTTTTTTCTTTTTTGTCTTGAAAGTCCTTATACAGAGGCATCAAATAATTTATTATCTGAAGTATATGATTTAGTTATATTTTACCCCATTTTCCATTTAGCTACTATGAAGATATGCACTATTATTCAAGGGATAGTACAAACTGATGAAAAATAAATAACAACCAATGGCTAAAATGAATGAAGACTTTTGTTGTCATTAAAAATAAGCCAATTCACTTAGTCCATTTAAGTAGTAGTTCAATTTCATTTCGAATATTGTAATTAAAAACTACTTTTTTGGCAAATGTTTACTTTCAAAATCTAATTAATTAATTAATTAATTAATACATTTGCATGTTTATTCATTTGTATTACATTTGTGTACCTTCGATGAAGATCTAATTTTATGTAGTTTTAATTTCATAGTATGTAATGCTAATTTAATGTGAAACTGTTTTTGTTGTAAACACAAATTTTATTCTGTTTATGATATTATAATCGTTTGAATAATCCATCTACAATTTCTAAGCAAATACAAACTCTTGAATTAGATCTAAAAATTGAAGGTAATCGTTTGATTGAAATAAACAATTCATTATATACATCAATTGTTGTTTTATAGTCTTGTGCGAATATTCAGACTTTTTGATGTTAGAAGTACTTCAAAATTTATTTAAGATTTTATCATTATAAGTAAATAACCGATTACTATTAAATTATTGACTATCAGATTGATAAAGAAATAGGGTGATGATCAAGTTATGAATAATATGAATTATTAGACGGACAATGTATATTGAAGTGATAGAAGTTGATATCCATCATAGAGCTGATGAAAGCCATGGAGCTTTAGATAACTGCAGCCTGTGAAGTCGATCAATTTAAAAGTGAAATAGTAATTCACCGATCACCTTTAATAAAGAATATGGTGTTTGATGAACAGATCCAAATTGTAAATGTGAACCACTGTATTTTGAGATTTGGAAGTTGTTAGTCTAATCATGTGTGGATTAATGGGCACATACCATCAAGGAATATCAAACTAAAACAAAAAAAAATAAATTGATTATCCCTTGATTTTCGGAAGTCTTCTAGCTTATATCAGTTTGCAGTTGAAAGGACCTCAAAAGCAATGTATGTTTAGTCTTATTGAGATATTGTTTTTCATTTTGTTAATGAATGAGTGCTATTGGAATTACTTATAGTTAGTAAAGAGGATTGACACAGACCATAATCTGTCAAACTGTTTGTTGCATAATAAGGAGTAAACTGATGATTAAACATGGTTGATAGTAAGAAAATTGAAATATTTTAAAGGATATCACTACGCTTAAAGTTTTAGACAAGCTCTACAGTAAAATCCGATTATTATCATTCGACGAGAGAACACATCGAATCTTGGATCAACACAAAGCATAAATGAAAAGAAGAATGTACTGTCGATAAAAATAACTGAATATATGTTCATACAAAGAGCAGTCTTAGAGCTAAGTGTAAATTGTTGAAATGGCTTCTATTTCTGTAGTTACAGGCTTTCCATGTAGTGACAAGATAGTTCTAGGGAGTTTAAATATTGTCTCTTTCCAAGATGGAGGACATGAAACATTAACTACCATTTAAACGCACCTCTTAATGCTTTCAACAGTAAGTTTTCACGATTTTTGAAATATGCCTTTATTACTTATGTCATGGGCTATTTTGAGAAGATAAATGAGGGCGGGCATTTTGTTGTAGACGCTAGATTGGTTATTACATTTTAATCGTGAATAAATCATGTATAATGACAATTATTTGTTCACATGGCTGTAAGGTTTGTTAACTAAACAAAATGCTAATGCTAAATTGTTGGAAGCAATCAACGAGTAGCTGTGAAACTAAGGTTTGTGCTAACTGCTTATCATCGTCAGTATATATCTGCGTTATTCATGTATTAAGAATATTACTGAAATGAGCCATTTAAAATGTTTTTGGACTCCGATAGAACTAAGAGTGACTATTGAATGGTAACCAATGTCAGCTTTATTCTATCTCTTAGTGATAATGAATAGACAAGTCTGACATTGATTCACCTGTTGATCAAACAATGTAAAATTATAATTGATTAAGAGCTCTAGGCTACTTCTTCACTTGTTCAATATGTCTTTTATTGTCTTCAATTTTCAAAATTTTTAGAGTATTGTGGTAGATAAATAAAGGCTGAATGTAGATTAGAAACCATTTCCGTTGTCTAAAAATTGAAGATTAATATAAGATGCAAACTAAAGATCGGTCAACAGGTTACAGAAAAAAGGATTTAAAACACGAGATATAAGCTTAGAATCAATAATTGAATCCACTGTTGAGATATGTTGATCAATTGTTCTCATGGTGATTTATCGATCTATTTTATTAACCAATCCTTAGACAGAGCATATGGGTGTAGGTTTACATTATTTAGTTTAATTTCGATAAACAATTTCAAGGTTAAATTCATTCTAATTTCCAATATATATACACTGCAAGGTTACGATAACATTCCTTATGCAAGAAAATTATTACTATAATTAGATCCTGAAGGAATAAAAATCGAATTTATTTTAAATGGCCGATCCGCGGTTCCAAACACCATACAACGAACCACCATATCCGTCTGGATTACCACCACTACCACCACACCTAAACGCACCACAAAGTCCATATCCAACTCAACCTCCACATTCTTATCCACCTAATATTGGTGCACAGTGGCAAGGTAAGATGAATTCATTTGAGATGTAATTATCATTAATAATGAAGGTTCAACGAATGAGTAGATTAATGCTATCTAAAAGTTCGTAACTTGTTCAGTTCTAAATTTAGAGACAGGATTTGAAAGAATTAGTAGAATATTTTTACACGTGTTAATTTATTATTGTCCTAATGTGTTCGTTTCATCTTTACATTTTAATCGACAAGCCATCATATATAGTACTCTAATTATATTTTAGCTATACTACTCACTCTGAAGAAGGTTGTCCTATAGCAGGAAATCTCATCCGCAGGTTCCCCAGTTTTCTGATGTCTAGTGGTTTGAAATTCCGAAGTCGATAATGACTTTCTATTACTTTTATAGAATATTTTTTAATCGTATTTAAGATGAATCTGGGATATTCGTATGGATATTTAGACATTAAGATTCATGAGAGCTGTGATGTATCATTTGATCTAATGGCATTTCAAACATGTATTACTATATGAATTTCTTTCTAATGTTTGATTTGGTTCTAGAAGTCTTAGTTTTCTAAAGTTTCCTCTTAAAATCCATTGTTTTTCTCCTTTCAATGAAATATAGCATTACAATTATAGACATTATATTAATAATCCGTTAAAGAAATAACCGACTTTTCTGTATATATATATCTTTTACTCATTCATGTGATAAAATACCCTACTCAGTAATATCATATATCTTAAGCAAAAAAGCACAATATACTACAATAGATTATTTTTGAGTTCTTGAAATTTATCTTCAAAAAAATTTTTATTTTCAAAATGTTCCATTATTTTATTATCATGCAACACATAAGGAAAAGTTCACTTGGTATTGTTTTACTTGACTCTTCCCATTGATGTTTAGGACTGCAATTGATCAATCTCTTATTGGTTTATGTACATACTGTGTGTATTGCATCGATATTGCTTTAATTTACAAGCAGCTGACGAGTCTAAAATAGAACAAAACGCGCATCCTGGATTTCACTGCTAGCCACTATCCATCTTTGTTCATAAAGAAAAATGTTTTTTTGTGTGTATTATATGAAAAACATGTTTTTCAGTGTAGATACTGTGTACTGATTTTCGTGTGTACAATTTGAATAACTATTTGAATAGAAATACAATGGAAAGTAGATATGATACTGGCATTAATTGACGATGACGATGAATGAACTTATAAATATTATATGTAGTATAAGACTTACTTCTTCAATAACTTCTGACATTTCTCTTACGACTTAGTTTAGTGATTTTAGCGAAAAATCAAACAGATAAGTTGTTGGTAGTTGTAAATTGCCTGTCTCATTAAACTCATGGAGAATACAACCAAAGTTTAGCTGTAGAGGATAGACGTATGTTTCTAGGACGGTAAGTCTAGTTAGCCGATAAAGTTATGAATCTGCATTCATTGTTGTAGTTAATGCATGTATTTCACACACATGGCTACAAATTTCTCTGATATTTACTGATACTATAAAATAAGAATAGGTTGGAAATATTTTAAGGGGTAATAATGTTAGAACAGGAAACCACTCATCAAAATTACTCCCTATAAATTAAACTAAGTGAATGAACTCGCTATTGGAGTTTTCGGGATGATAAAGGTAAGTAGTTAGGAAGGCTGGGTTATGTAGCTCAAGACTAGTTATCACAAATTCCCATATTTCTCTAAGCCTTAACGATTTGTTTAGTAAGTATCTAATTGCACTCTGTCCGTTTTACTTGCTCTTACGAATTAATTTTATATCTTCTCCTTTTGATGGCATTTTGAAGCATGTGTGATACATAATATCACAGTTATCTTAAAACAAATATTTTGTGTGTGAGTATAAAAAATAGGAAACATACATGTTGCACTCAACAAGTGAAGATGTTATTTTTCTGACAAATTTACCAAAGACGAATGTATAAAATATATGAAACCTGATAATCTTACAAGATCGAAAAACTTTTATTTAATCAGTATTGAGAAATAACTTTGTTGGATGATAAAAGACAAGTTAGTGCATACTTTATGCTTATTTCTACTCAACAGTAAGGTGTAACTCAAACTAAGAAGAAATCTGTGCTCCATTCATTGTTGAAAACAAAACTGTATGACTGTCAAACGTAGAGCTTACTGATTTTCTTTGACATTTCTTATACTCCTGGTCGGTAGATGCTAAAAAACACATGATATGTACGTCCACAATAACTTTATGTTGATTATATTCTGTCACTCATTAATGAATTTATGACAAGATTTCTAGAAACGATTAAATGAATTTAAACGAAAGGGAATATTACAGTAATCGCTTGCAGACTTGTTTTGAGCAAAAGCTAATATGGCCGAATTGATGATGCCATTTGAATATTACAGACTTGATGGATGGTTTACAGCATAAAATCATTAAATGATGATATGAAATAGCTTGTCCAGCTCAATAAGCCAAAGTATAAGAAAGTGGATTATCTCATGAATTAGTTTATTATCGAATAATTATTTTTTTGTGAAACAGAAAGAAATGTAATCCTTCTTAATACTGATCATTATAACGTATTATAATCTAACCTATTACTAAAGATATTTATAGTGTATGTTTTATTTAATGTTGTTTTGAAAAGGAGGAGATGGTTACCCATATGGAAATTATAATGAAAATCCACATTCTAATAATAACAACATTGGTGGTGAAGGTGGACGCATGGAGAATCAATTCACTGCATCAAGTTTTAGTGATAAAAAAATTCGTCATGCATTTATTCGTAAAGCAAGTTATAGTTTATCAATGGTATTTTTCACAAGACTCATTTTAAACTAATACCGTGAGTGTTAGTAAAATTCTATAAAGAAAAAGAAATTACATATCTAAAATCTTAAGTTATGAAAGTTGACTTTATTTCAAAATGTTTCAGCGGTAATTTCATGGAAAATGATTCATTCAACATGAATTAAAAGTTAAATGTATTTTTATAAACCACAACATGAACATTGAAATATCAAAATTGTCAACTGGGTCAAAACTAATTGAAGAAAAGAATCCTAATCTATAACTATAGGACTAAGGCATTAGCTTGACGAATAATTGATTTTTTCATTCAGATGAAAACTTTAAATAAATCGTTTGTTAACAGTGCACCCATGTAAGTTATATACAAAACATTGGCGTGTTCCAGTAGATTTAGTTTCATCAGATTTCTTGAATGTTTCAATTAAGTATAATTTTGATAATTGGTTTGTGAATGCTTCACGGGTCAAACTGTCAATATTCTAAGGAAAAAATAAGTTTGCCAAATACTAAACTGTAATTTTTATTCAAAGCTGTCCGATTATGATAACATATTGTTAATTCTGATCTAACTGTCTGATGTTAAGATTACCGTGCACTTCCGAGTTTACATTTCGGTCTAATTCACTAAATTCGATAGTCTATTCAAATAAAATTTCATAATCGATATCATTTAAAAGGAATAGTACTTCAAAATACGAAGCGCTAACCCCATGTCCAACCCTCCTCCTTTATCCGGGCTTGGGACCGGCAGTAGCCCCCCGAGGGACTCCAGGCAGAGTTTCATCACAACGAAACTTTTCTTTAAATATTTTTGATTATAATTAAATTCACATAATTTTTCATTTAATTTCTTTTATCTAGGTATATTTTACTCTTAGTGTGCAATTATTATTCACATTTGGAATCGTATGTATTTTTTGCCTTGTGTAAGTAATAATATTCAATGGAATTAATCTATTTCTGTTAGTAAACCTGTAACGATTTGGGTACGTCGTAATCCATGGTTCTACTATTTAGCCTAGTAAGTTTATACATAAATTTTAATTGTTAAATTTCGAAAGTTAGTAGTTCTTGTGGTAGGCAGTTTTTATTTTTTCTTACGAAAATGATAACAGTTGATAAAAATATGGTTAGCGTTTTTTTAGCGAGTTAGTTTTCTACGGGATGGGGACGCTAACCCCATGCCCAACCCTCCTCCTTTATCCGAGCTTGGAACCGGCAGTAGCCCCCGGAGGGACCCCAGGCATAGTTTGATAAAAATATGGTCAATTAGTAAATATTTGACTCAATTGTAAAATAATCGAGAAGTGTCATGTTTTGATTGTCGTTGAATTACAACCTATGATAACAATAAAAGCAAACTTGAAAATATACATCTAATTGATGAAATGACAAAACAGCCAGCTCATATTAAAAAAAACTTTCAAATCCCAGGAATACTATTAATTGTAATGATATATATGGATTGATTCAATAAGAGTATGTTCTTTACTAGGAGGGGAAAACTGGAATGAGAATACTGTTAGTGACTTTCAGATTTTAATTAGTTTTATTTAGAAAACTAAAATGTTTCAATATCATGATTTCATTACCGTTGTGTTCTCTCGAGGTACTAATACTATTTTTTGTTGTTGTTGCTTGTATGTAGTGCAATATTTTTCGTAACGTATTTGGTACTTGGCTGTATTGTAAGTGTACGAAGACGATTCCCTGGAAATTATATATGCTTAACTGTATTTGTAAGTTAATCTGAAGCATTTTTGTTTAAATTTTATTAAACACCTAGAAAAACAAGTGAATACAATACTGATGTTAATTATTTAACTAAGTTTAAACTATAGGACTATATTGTGCTTTAGAGGTAGTCTGATGTTCAATATGCATTTAATTAAAGGTTTATTATAAGTTAATATATGATTAACATTAATAATTTTTAGATAGTCAGTGTTTTAATATGTTTCTCAGATATTTAGTTTTATCTCTAAAGTTGATTAACTGGAGCTGTGAATGAACTGAGAATAGTGAATAATATTGTAGTATAATACTGTTTCACTATATTAAACAGTCTCAAATCTTTCTACCTAAAACATTTCAGCTATTGATTCTTATCATCTCTTCAATCTTGTCAATAGTGATTTGGGTTGATGCTACTTTTGAGTCTTTTCTTTAGTTATGAACTGATAGAAACACAGAACAGACCACATGAAATGTATGTGTTTTTAAGAGGTACTTTAGAAAAAAATTTAAGTATTCATGATTGGACTTCAATGTTATTGAAATAAACAGATATTTTTTTCATTCATTTCTCATCGGTTATGGATATTCTGAATGGTTTGTTAGTAAATGTAGCTTAACATTATTTCTCTACATAAAATAAAATTAGAGTTTAAAGACTGCGAATTGTTCGAAGTTGTCAAATGGTAACTGATGAGATTTACTAGAATAATATCATATGGATAATAGACAAGCATTAATCACAGAAGTGGTAATGCATCAGTATACATATATATGAAAGATAAGTTGTAATGTCTGGCTTTTCATCCACTTATTATCAGTGGAACTGTTTTAACCAAATCAAGTAAGATTTAACTGAAGATAGCTGTTGACACGGTTTGGGAAATATCATTGTAAATTGATCAGTAACTCTTATATGATTTGGTTAATAACGATTATAAAGTTTCAGAAAATCCAATTTACATAACAAAACCTGAAGTTCTAAGAAAGTGCACAGAAATGTCTTCGTTCTTATTGTCAACATCATATCCCAATTTTCTTGTTTCAATATATGTTAGCTAACAAACAGAAAATTTTAATTTTCACTGTATTGAATGTCTTAGTGTTTCTCACATAAAACTCATCCATAAACTGTTCACTTACCTGGATCTACTTGGTTATTTTATGTCAATCATCTCAAGTAACTGGTATAATCATAAAATACTTGTATGCCTTTATATACGAAGTCAAAATTCTTCTATACTATCGTCTTTAGATATCTGACTTACATCTAAGAAATATTTCATTGATGTGATTTGAGCGATTTAGGGCTTCAAATAAGATTTTGTACACTTCAGATCATTGAGTTTTTGGTTTAATACTTAGAAGAGTAAGCGTATTTGTATCAAACGAATTCATAGAAAAATAGTTTATAACAACCGTTTGATTTTTTACTCACACAGAACATATTTTGAAGTTTCCACTCACTCGGTTAGTATTTCTTTTTAAAAGTTTTATTAGGAAGCATTTTATCACTATAAGTGATATCGGAGTGATTACTTGAAATATTCAATCAATAATTATAACTTTGTTATTAATTTCCGTAATGAGAATAGACGAAATAGTATGGAGAACTGCGAGGCTGTTAAATATTTGTGATTAAAGTGTTAACCACAAGGAGATAAATATTGTCAAGCATGTATTGTCGCGAAGCCATTAAACATTTGAAATTGGTCAAATTTAGAAATATGAACTGCTAGATTCTTAGGACAAGCGTTAGCTTCAAAACCTGAAGAGTATGGATTCTATTCCTGTAGGGGTGGAAATCGAGGACAGCCTGGTTTTATATGAGTACGAAACAGGTGTTTAGTGCTCCCCAGTTTTCGATGATACCCTAATTCATCTCAGCTAGTGAGAAGCATCACCCATAAAAGATTTTCACACCTAGAAATAATCTTACACTCTGAACATTGAGGCCAGTCTAAACTTGTATTAAGAATATCATTGTTTTTGTTGATTATATCGACCATCGTTTCCTCAACCCAACGTCGCTACTTTATAAAGACTAGAACAGGACAAACTAAAGGGATCTATCAATTTATTTAAACACCTAAAACCAGCAAAATCGAAAATGACATAAATGAAAGACTACCAAATTGAATACTCGTTTTTTGTATGATTTCGTTGGTTAGAATAGACAAACATTACGCCAATTTGGAATATCATCACATGGTCTAAATTTACGATTGACCAGTCAAGCAATCTATAACACATTTTAAATAACCTAGATGTTTTGGATACAAGACTAGAGTGGAAAGTTGTAATAATCCGTAAAATTGATTACTTCCTATTTCTTACATCAGGCTGTGTTTATCAAATAGTGTTGTTAAATTTAGGTATTAAAGTTAGTCGATGTAATAAGAAATCAATTCTTCAAAGAGTTTTGTTGTTAGTTAATTAGATCAAGAATCAAGATACTTTAATATACAGCAGTATTGATTACGGACATCTGGACTACTGACTTCTGTAGAATCAAAGTACATGTTTTTGATAAAAAGTTCCTTTATCTGATAGTTTTATTTTTTAGGAAATGCAAGGTTGTATTGACACTAAATACCAACAGCATTTTTCCATATGGTGTATTGAAACATTCAATAAATTGATATTGTGATAATACTAAGTCATTCTATCGATTTCTGCGAAGTTTGATAATCAAACTTTTTCACACTTACATTTCACTGCTTTGCCTCAAGAAAAAATGAGAACTGAAAAACAGATTTTCTACTTCGATAAGTGATCTATAGTCAGTCTTTTATCTAGAATTATGTTCAAAATCAATATTTTTAAATAAAGTTATTTCACTTGATAAACTTCTAACTATCATCATGAAGTGTTACATTCAGAACATGTTTTAAGTGACAGATGATAAAAGATCATTAGGAAGACATAACAGTAAGTTTAAAAGATTTTGAAAACCCATATCTATCTTGGGCATTACATCTAAAATAAGAATAATCAACTTATGATAATGTAGGGTTTTTTCATGAAGCCTAAATCATACTGATCAAAAGGATATTGTTTATTGAATTAGTTATAAAGTGTAAGGGGTTTGTAGAGATTTTGAAATTTCGTACTTCGAGTCGCAGAGCGATTTTAGTTAAATGATCACTGAAAAATAAAAAGCACTGGACAGATGTTTTCTCTTAGCATCGGATTCTTTAGCGTCGTGTATCCACAACTCCAAAACACTGAATGTTATGTAAATTGTAAATCAATTATTTTGACATTGATTGATTTAGTTAATCTTAAATATTTTGATCAGTCTGCTTGAACACTAAATTGAAAGTGAAGTTAATTAGAAGAAGTTTACTTACTAGTCTCTTACCAACAGTTATAACTCCAAACATTTCATCTTAGAATGTTGTTAATGACTACTCTAGTTTATTTATGATTTTCAAATATTCTATTTCTTTGCTTTGCTTATTTATTCTACGGTAAATAGACATTGGCATTATCTTATATGGCTGGTTCAATTGGTGCATTCTACGGAGCTGAAGCAGCTTTAATTTCTGTAGCACTGACATTTGCTCTATGCATCTGCATAACTCTGTTTGCAATGCAAACACGTTTTGATTTTACAATGTGCTCTGGTTTTTTATTTGTATTTAGCTGTGTTGTTATGCTTACTGGGATTGCAATCATGATTGTATACTTTGTTTTGGGACCAAATAAGGTAATTACATCTGTTTTTCTAAAACTTTGAATAGCTAAGGATTAAACTTTTTTAAAATTCAGTTCAAGTAGAATTAAAATGTACTAATAAGTTATTGATGTCATCTAAATCATTTTTAATTGGAAATGCCCACGAGTTCAGATTTAACACATTATGAATATAATGCGATAGATATATCTGAAACAGAGAAAACACTTGTCATTTTTCTAGTAATTCTATTATTTCACACATGAGTTCTGTAACTATAAAATCGGCTTATTAAACGGTAGATTCATTGATCATTGATCTAACGTCAAGACTATTCAAAATCGTTTGTTAACAGAAACTCACACAATGGTCAGTCATATAGTAACATTATTACTGATTAATTATCGATCTATGCTTCAAATGATCAATTCGTGAATGAATGATTTTTTTATTATTATTTTTAATCCCAAGATTGGCACATATACATGTCACATTAATTCATTATAATGCGATGAAAATAGATAGTTTGATTTAAAAGATAAAACTTAACACGTCACTTGAATCTTCATTACTTAGTATATGTTAACTGAATCAATTCTTGACATGAAATGCTAGATAAATTAAAACATGGTGTTAAACACGTGTACCCTTAGTGACTTACAAAATAAATCAATACTGTCAAGACAGTTAAACCACTGATTTAAACTAAATCAAACTAACAACACAGTGAAATCTCTAAACTAGAAAATGAATTTAAATGTAAGTATCTCTAGTCATACAATAATATTGATATTATTAGTGTTTGTTTAGGTAAGCTCATGCGATGTTGATCAAATTAGTTATTTTTTTTTCTACTATCTATGGATATAATAATGTTAGTTAGAAAGCAAGTTCATCCTTGTGAATTTAATGATTGTTTTATTTCTAATTTACGGCTCATTGACCAGAGAACATATATAGGTCAGTGATGTTTTATAATTGAGTGATGTTATTAATGAATAGATTTTACACATTTATTTATTTTGTTTTCTAGATTCTACAGGGCGTTTATAGTGGTATCCTAACCTTATTATTTGGTTTGGTAAGTTACTTTATTCATTAATAAATATATTATTTGATGTCAGCTCATTATTATTAATTATTTTTTTTCAGTTATCGATCGAAAAATTGTGCATTCTGGGAATTAATATTTTATGATGAGTGTATTTCTGAAAAGTTCCCGTAATCTAAGATCTCATCACTTTAACTATGATGACTAGATTGACTCCTCAGATGTACACATCAACAACCCAATACACGATCGAATATGCAACACTCACGCTTCAAAATAAAAGCTTAAAATTCCGAATACTGAGCCGGAATTCATAGATTTCAACTCTAATTTCGATCGATGACGCATTCATTTACTAATCCCCTCGATTGGTAAATGTCTTACACCATACATATTTGAACATCATTGGTTACAGTTAATTAACAGAACTTCTAAAATTATCGGTTCAAATCAGATACTAGCGAGCGTCTGATATATCATTTATGGATCACACTAAAACACACAAACCATTGGATCTCGACTCAATAGTCCATAGGTTAAGTGTTCACCGTGAAACTTGAGCGATTAGTGTTCAATCGTCAATGGGGTAGTAGATGTGAAATAAAACATGTGTAGTACTTCTTGAATTTTGATGTTTGTCAACTAGGATAAGTGAAAAATATAAACGATCAAAACTACTTGGATGATGTAAGTATTTATTATCAAAAATTTGCTTCTATTTGAATAATCTTAACTTTAGACCTACATTCAAGTATAGTAACTTGAATTTATGGAATATGTTTTAAATGCAGAAACTGATTTTTATACATAAGTGTGTGTTAATCTGTGTTGCACTTATGAGATTAAGTTTCCAGATCAGCATCTGTAATGTGACTTATAGTTTTATACCAAACCGTATAGTGTTCCATTTATGACAGAAATCAATTTAAACCTGATGGAACATAGATTTTTATCTTCTAATAGCTCTGCTCAAGTTTGTAAACAATAACTGTTTACTGATTTCTAAATGTTTATTTGTTATAATTTGAAAAAGTCCCAAAATGAAGTTAACGTACATTCGTCATATACTCTATGTTTTGATTCCCGAGATGATAGCAACCGATGGTTAGAGACCCTGAATGACATGGCTCAAAGTCGTTTGCAATAGCGCAGGTGCATACACTCTTTGTGTTCTCCCAAATTCTAATCTCCGGAATTCTCCTTGTCTCTTTTTTCTCTTCCCATATTTATTTCACTGGATTATACTCTTTAAATAACAGCTCCAAACCCTAATCTTTCCGATTACTGCTTATACACTTACTACCTCTACCACTACGGGATTTGAATCGACAACTGCATCTCTGTGCTAATGTGGTATGGCAACTCCAACTGATGTACGTACGTACGAAGTTCTACGTTGTTACTGACTGACTGTTTTGATTATCAATTCATGATAATTCAAAACCTAAAGTCAATTAAACATTGGAACTGTTTGTGTTCGAAATAACTAATCTCTTCTTTTAAGCAACACAATATAATAGTTAGGTGATCGATTTACAAAATCTAAATGAACTTGATGTTTTAAAACAGAAATTGTGAAAATTTGTATTTCATGATTAGACAATTTATCTAATGTGATAAGATACAATTTACAGAAGAAAGTTGTGGTTGTCGGTATTCTATATAATTCTTAAACTTCGTATACTGCTCGCCTTGATAACTGTTACTAGATAACATCCACGGTGTATAAATCCGAAGACGAAAACGAAGCATTGATTAAATCTATTATCGCACCACACACAGATCACCAAAACCACAGGCATACGAAGCAAGAATGATATGCGAGTGCTGAAGAGCAAGCAAGCAAGCGAGTGAGTGAGTCAAATGAACAGGATTAAAATGCACCTATAAATATATACATAGGAAAATGAATGCGTCATCGAATCATTTAAACAACTAACACTAAAGCTAGCAGAATGTATATATGAGTAGGTGGTAAACAATGCTCGAGCATACATCTTCATGCAAACGAAACAATAATAAAGGTACAGTGGTACAGATAAGTTATTGTTGTACGAATGACTCTGTCTGTTAAATAAGTTAATAAAAGGGCTTGGCCAAATTAAATGTACACAAATTCAATGTATATGAGCTGCTATATAAAGTGGTAATTTTTAGACGGACGGGCTTTAAAAATAATTTGAAATTATTTCTTATAAATGATCCATGTACAAATCCATTTTGTCCTATTAGATTATTAACATTTATACATGTAACCTTGTTTAAATATTTTAACTCAGATTGAGAAGACATAAATTAATTTTACTTCGACTCAAATAATAAGACAAATATGTCAGTAAAAGTACTTTGATCAACTATCAAAGAAGAAAACAAATTAATGATGTGCATTGATCGATACTGTTCCCAGATTGTGTTATAAACAGTCAATATCTACTAATGAGATATCAACTTTGAACTTAAGCCATTTGAAAGGAGATATCATGATTTCAATAGATTCTTCAACATTTGAATGATATAACACTGAAAATTAATAAGTAGTTTATTCTCTATATTTTGATTAGGCATTTCAAGATTTATTCAATATTGTATCCTGTTTATTATTATTATTATTATTATTATTATTATTATTATTATTATTATTATTCATATTACTATTCACAGTATTTGGCTTACGATACACAACTAATAATGGGTGGAAGAGAATTTGAACTTGAACCAGAAGAGTATATATTTGGTGCAATGCAACTTTATGTGGATGTTGTATTCATGTTTATGGCTATAGCTGGTATTGCACGTGCAGCCTCATGAATCAATGATTAAATCGACGAATCAATACAAAAGCGTATATCTGATAACCTACATTTATTATTATTACCAAAGGATATAATTTGTCTTGTTTAAAATGACAATAATTATTACGTATATAGAATAAATAATATAAACAATAATTTGATAATAATCTAAACGAAAAACTAACAGATTATCATTATTTTGTGAATATGTACAAAATGTAATCTATTTTCTTATTTGTTTTAATGTGTCATTATTTGTACTTTAATGACTTGAACCATGTATGAATTTGGAAAAACAAACTTATTGACCGAAATCAACAATAAACTTTATGGAATATTTGTAACTTAAATATTTCTTATTCAATATAAATGCGTAAATCATCATTGAAATATCAATAATAAATAAAATTGGGTATTGAATTCCTTCATTTAGTTTTTTTTTTCTTGTTTTATGTAACACGAAAACATGTCTATTGGTAGACTATTGATAACAGATTGGTTAAGATATTGCTTGTTATAAGGAATTGATTGAGTGTTATTACTATTTGACGGTTGAAAATGTGTTTAGTATAGTTATAAACCAATTGGCAATGATAATGTAGTGAATAAGAACACTACTGGGGATAATGAAATGTATTCACATACAAAATCTGAGAACCTTACAGTAAATACTTGAGTCTTCCTTCGTTTCCATATCAATCAATCTCTGGTCTCGTTCTCTTCTCCTAGGACTTCTTCACCTTTTGCCGCCAGGCATCCCACTTTCTATTGGTGACATACTATTTATATTTCTCGACATCAGTAGCACACACCACTCGTTTTAAAAAGACGGAATAATTCGAATAGATTCATTTGGTCTGAAATGCTCTATAGTTTAGGATGTTTATTTGAGTGTTACATGTTTTCAATGAGGCAGTTACAAGTTTCGTGGACCGTGTCTGAACTTTCTTTGGTGGTTATTTTTGAACAAGATTATTTGTTATCTTAACTATAATTATATATATATATATATATATATATATATATATATATATATATATATATATATATATATATATATATATATATACTGGTAGAATGCAACAAACAACTGTTTAGGAAGAATATAAACCAGTTGCTATCAAATCGTTTCAACCTAGAAAAATCTCCACTTCAAATTAATCAACACCGGTAGGATTAAATATTTGGAGATTATTATTCCGGCTTTATATATTAGTCACATAACTGATTATCTTCAAAGGGTTTATATAGAATCGAATGTCTGTAAATATGATTAACTTAATAAGGTTGTTCCATAGATTCAAATTACTATACCTGAATGTAGGTATAAAGTTAAGATTATTCGGATAGAAGCAAACTTCTACACATGTTTTATTCTAGTATTGGACTTCTCACAAGTCCACATCTACGACATCATTGACGATTGAACACTAATCGCTCAAGTTTCATGATGAACGCTTAACCTATGGACTATTGAGTCGAGATCCAATGGTTTGTGTGTTTTAGTGTAATCCATAAACGATATACCGGATGCTCACTAGTATCTGATTTGAACCGATAATTTTAGAAGTTCTGTTAATTAACTGTAACCAATGATGTTCAAATATGTATGGTGTAAGACATTTACCGATTGACGGGATTAGGAAATGGTTGGAGCATATGGTGAGACTATAATTTATGAGCGATCTTTGAGCGACGCTAAAGTGACTTTGAGAATTTCCACTTACTAACTAGGACTAAATGAGATTTATAAACCAGTTTGATGAATTAGAACTATGATTTACAATTGACGGTTACGGTTAGGAATTAGATTTACGGTTTTCATCACGAACTGGCATAAGCTAAAATGCTGAAACGCTATTTGGCCAAATGGATGAATGAATTTCGTACCAAAATACGACATCTGTCATTTTATATCTGATTGGTTCGCCCATAAATTACACTCTTGCCGGACCATACTGAGAATTGATCGAAATTAGAATTAAAATCTACTGAATTCCGGTCCAGCCTTCTGAAGCTTAAGCTTTCATGCTGAAACCTGAGGGTTGTGTATTCGATCGTGTATTGGGTTTTTGATATGTACATCTGGAGAGAGGGGGGTCCTATGCTAGTATGAAACAACTGTGTAATGCTTCTTAATGTTCAGAGGTTGCTCCTATAATTATTGTCGGTAAGTACGCTTCACTCATAATTTTTATATTCATGAATTCTTTGAGATGCGTAAGTTAATTTTGTAGCTTTTACTATCGTTTTATTGACATCATCAACAGTAAAGGTTTTGAAAAAGATGAGTTCATAGTCTTTCAGAAGTTCTGATAGTGTTCACATAACTGCTAAGCTATGAGGTAGTTAAAATTACATTCAATTTATTAAGGCTACAATAGTAGGACACTTGTTCATATTATATGTAAATTATTTCTTATCACGTCTCTGTAAACATAAACGTATATAATCATCACTCTACACATAATATATTTATCTAAGGAGATTTTTTATTCGTATGTCTTTTTCACGTACTGTTCTAAATAGTATACATGCCCTTTTTCTTAGATAAATCACCTGGATGATGGAACATGTCTGTATTTATCTATAGATTGATTCTAGACTTAGTAGATCACTTTCTAAATTGGTAATAAATTATCCTTACCAAGTTTATTTTGACGATCTTAAAACATTTTTTTATTTATTTCAGACTCGTTTATATTAAGTAGGTATGTTTTTAGAAATTTTCAATACAATGTATATGCGATTGCAAAAAAACATTCATTTCTCTTTTAAAACCTGATATAACTATATACATTATTATAGGAGTTAGTATACACTGTAACATTATGTTAAAGTATTTTCACATTAATACAACATTCAATAATAGAACATCAACAAATTATCCATTAGTCTAAATATTGATAAACTTTGATAATAAAATTCATGTTTAATCAATTGATGTTTCTAGTACATGTGAATAGTTATTTTTTTTCATTGTATGTTATTTTATAAAAAAGTTACTTGTCTTTCGAAACTTATTAACAATAAACACTTTAAGTGCTTCATTTAATCATACAATCAACAAAGATATAAATAGATCTTGTAAAGATTTCACTACATATAATTATTGTCATTACATTTATCAACAATGTTTATATGTTCATATATTAAACATATGACCAAACAATTCGTACATAGATTTAAATCATGAGTTAATTGAAGCTAGACCACCATGGAAAACCTGGAAGCACTGGACGGCCGTTTCGTTCTAGTATGGGACTCCCCAGCAGTGCGCATCCACGATCCCGCACCACTCGGGGCTCGAACCCAGGACCTACTGGCTTCGCACGCGAGCACTTAACCATTAGACCACTGAGCCGGCATCCAACAGTGTTAATGTCTAACTTCAACCAATCCACGAAGTTGCTCCACCATATACCATTGTCTTTAGTGAGCTGATATCTCACAACAGACCTGGTCATTTGTATTACTTTTATCAATATTCATTCGAATCAAAAATTAAATTGATCATAAGATCTGATATATTGATATATTTAACCATTGTATTACATTTTCGATCAAATAAATGAAGAATAGATAAAACAAAAGAAAATGATCAGGATAATAATAATGGTTTATCATTTAAAATTAAGAAGAAAAAATAGAAGTGCCAAAGAAGTCAACATTAGAAACTAAAGAATAATAAATTATATATTTCTTACAGAAATATAGAATACATAGTACGCTGAAAGCATAATTTATGGATGACTTTTGGGCGACATTAAAGTGACCTTGAAACAGTTCACTTACTTTCTAGGGTTAAAATGGGTTTGTAAATTAGAATGAGGAATTGGAATTAGAATTTAGAGTTATAAATCAAAGTAAGTATTTTCATCACAAACTGACATTAGCTCTAGTAACGAAATGCTGCTTATCCATATGCCTGAATAAATTTCGCGACAAAATTCAAGAAGTACAGTCCTTAATTTCATTGGTTCGTCCATAATTATAGTTTTGACATCCATTTAGGAAGACGTTTGCTTTCTTTTTATCCATAGTATTAAATAGTTATTAGGGAAAAACTTAATTCTTTTCACTTTCACATAAAGGCGAGGTCTAAAAGGTGGAGTATAGTATGGAAGAATCTATGTTGACAATATTCAAAATGAGGCAATAATCCAAAGATGGTATTAAAATATTGTTGCGCCCTATCACGAATAAAACGAATTCAAAATTATGAAATCCTGAAAACAAGTCGATGGTCTGAAGATAGTTTAATCATCTTAGGACCTAAATACCCTTGTGCAATTCCTGATGGGGTCATGGATGAGTGGTAATGTTAGTGGTTCTCCGTATGATATCAGTCACCGATAAAAACCATTTTCTAACTTAACTAGTTTCTACAACTCACTGAGTCAAATCGTAACTTTGATGTTTACTATTTACTAAAATATACCCAAGTTAATGTCATTACCAACTTAATAAAAACAAAAACCTTCATTTATTCTACTCTTTGTTTATCATTTTGTATTTAGGCGATGTGAATTCCAGTCATATGACTATCATATGATATTGTTGTATTCATTTTTATTAGCATTATATTTATGTACTGGCTAATTCAAATTACATTTGGTGCCTATCATTAAACTAGTGAAATTAACTATTTACAAGTAAAACTAAGATTTATATTGTCTGTTTTCGTTGACATTTTAATGTAGATGTTAAATGAACGATGAAAGAGATGGTTAAGGTCAAAGAATAAGACACGCCTGTATTTAAGGTATCGATAAGTATATTGTTTAGAGAAGTACCGCGAACTGATTTCCAAGGTGTGCAATTGATTATCAGAGTAGAACGAAGTCAGTAGACAAAATATTTACAACCTAGGTAAAGTTGTACACCAGTTTTCTTTGTATATGCATTTGACAGTTGTAAAGGAAATATTCTCAACCTAGTATATTTCATTAATGTCTTAGTTTCTCAGTCTGTTAGCTATGAAATAAACTGTTAGAATGATTGTAAGATGGTAGCTGTAATCACAATACTATTATCAGTTTTTGTTTTTTTTTAGTCAAGAACTGTAATATTATCTGATGCACTGATGGAAAAATATATTGATATACCAGTTGACTTACGTTTCAAACGTGTTGGTGTTCACAACGATGGATTAATGATATAAACTGCAGAGAACTCGTACTGGCTAATGAAAACCATGGAGCTCTTTCCACGCAAGTATGAAGACGTGAATGATAGATAAGGATCTATTGTACATAAAAAATAAATCAGAACTATCTAAATACACTGATTTATACATGTTTTATCACACAAGTTGATAATCAGTTTAATATAAACTAAACTGAGTATTATTTGACATGATAAACTACCAATAACTTGAACTTAGGTTTACGATATCATAAACGGTTATAATGAACAAATATGATTA